AAGCCTTTGGTAGCCTGGCATACATGTTCTCTTTTTGCCAGTATGGGGAACAGACATTTATTGAGCCGAACATGCCAAATACTGTCCTTCTGGGGTTACACCTTGCTGAATTATTCTTAGTGGGTCATTAAAACAGGTACCCTAAGGATGAAGTGTCTGCCGATTAGGGGACAAGGACTTTGGAGGCCACTTAACTCCTGCTGCTCAAAATGTGGTTCCCCTGGGAGCTTGTTAGAAATGCAAAATGCAGGGCCCCACCCTGAATCAGAGCCTGCGGTTTAGCACTAGCCCCCGGTGATTTGAGTCCCCTTTAAATTTTTTTTTAAAGTTTTTGGTTTTTTTCTTAGAGATTTTGGGGGGGGGGGGGGGCAGAGAGAGGGAGACAAGCGGACTCTCTGCTGAGTGGGGCTTGATGGGGGGCTCACTCCCAGGACCCTGAGATCTCATGACCCTGAGATCATGACCTGAGCCACCCAGATGCCCTTGAATGCCCTTTAAAATTTGAGAAGCCCAAATCCCTTGTTTTACAGATGAAAAAATTGGGATCCAGAGAGGTTCAGTGATTTGTTAAAGGTCGTACAATGAATTAGACTCGGCTAGATTTAGGATCTAGTTCTGACACTCAGCTCCAGTGCTTGCTTTCCCCCTGTATCTGGCTGCCTTCTTACAAGGCCTTATTTTGTTTGCTTCTGTTTATTGAATGAACTTGAACTTAATTCAATTTATTTAAAAAACTTTACATTCTGTCCTTCACTAATTCAGACTGGACTTCCGTTAATTTATCTGAGTGGGTGGCACTACTTCATTTCTTAATTTTGTGTGTGTGTTTATTAGATTCACTCAACAGTTGAATGAAATAATCCTTTTTTTTCCCCATCTGATGTAAGTTTCTGGAACTGGACGTATATAAATGCTGCCATCTTTAAAAAGACAAATATTCCATATTAGAAAAAAAATCAAACATTTTACCATTCTGTTGTTGATGATTTCATAAATATGGTATTTATGTTTTGTTATTGCACTATATGTACACACTGGGGAGAGTGTTCATCATTATATGGTTGGTCACACTGGATTTATTGGACTTCACCCAGGATCTGTTATTTAAAGGGTATTTCCAGGATTTTGGTTGCGTGTGATTATGAATTGATAGTGTCCCGTGGCACCATTTAAAAATGTTATGTGTTAAAATGTTAAAATGGTTACATATATTTACTCCGCACTGATGGACATTTAGGTACGGCGACCCGTTCTCACTTCAGCTCTGCCTGTTGCCCCTATAGTCAGGGGCCTCTCTGGTCCATTTCCTCCAGGTTGTAAACTCCATCTTATGCCAGGGTTAACGAGGGGAATGGGGTATCTACCTACTCCTTATCTGTGTTTGTACCTAGTTCCTTGAACTTTGAGTCCTGTCCCTGACACCTGCCTTCTGAAGTACTCAGTGGCCCCAATTCCTGCCTTTGGGGCCGGCTTTTAGTTCTTCCTCTCAAACCATTCCTGTATGTCCATTCTCTTCCCTCTTCTGAAATATTGTTGACATCCTCATCTGCTGTCATCTTGTCTGCCAGAGTTTATACCTTTCTGGTCCTTGATGTCATTCGGGGAGGTGGAGCTTTGAGAGTGTACTAAATCTGCAATGTTTAACTGCAAGTCTTTCATCTGTAATAAAAAAACTTGTATTTTTTTCTTTCAAGCTCTTTCATATTCCTAATGTTATGTGTTTGCATATGTTCTTTGTTCCTCTAACCAGTACCCTTGAGTCATTGCTGCTGGTCTTTATGATGCACTGACTTTGGGGAAACTTTTTTTTTCAATGAATTTGGATGTAATTTCTAATACTTTGTTTCTTTACTAATTCTTGACCCCCAAGCCCCCCAAACCCTCTATTTTCCCTTTCTTTCTTTCTTTCTCTCTCT